CACACACACACCCACACCCCCACCCTCTCTCTCTCTCTCTCTCTCTCCTCTGAACGCATCTCGATGACTGCGCGTCTCGTACTTGACAGTGTTTGGAAACGATATGCGCCTTGGATGTGCGGCAGTGAGACGACGGATGGAGCTGCTCGCCACCGGCCTTCATCCTCACCGGTGCCCCCCCCCCCCCCCTTCTCACCACCTCTTATCTGTGCTCTGAGCCTATTGCTGCCACGGCTGCGCCTCAATCGAGCGAACCCGGCGGGTTGCGCTCATGATGCGAACAAATCAAACATATTTTGAGGGAGGGCGGGGAGGCTGGTGCTGGATGTATGATAGACGCTGTGCAGAGGAACCCCCCCCCCCCCCCCAGCTTTCTGTCCATCCTGTGTGCGGCTGACTCGATCAATATTTCATGAAATAATTCTTTCGCGCACATGCGGTTTCGTATGGAAATCCGGCACGAAAGAGGTGGTAGGCGGTGTGCAGCATAGAGGAATTACTGTGCAGACCCTCCTCTGAAACCTTCCAGGGAAACCCCCACCACCAACACCACCACAGCCACTCGTTTCCTCCTTCATCCCCCCCAACCACCTCCTCTCTTTTTCTTCTCCTCTCCTCCTCATCGCGTTAAAAAGGATGAGCGCTGTCCGTGGTGCTGAAATCCAGCGCCCCTCACAAACCAGTGCGGTGCAGCCTTTACCGGCGAGCGGAAAGGAGGTGTTTGCACCTATATTCAATAGCTTTTCCTCCATTTTCATCTTAATCCCTCCCCTGACACAACTGTATCTGTAGAAACTTAAAGGAACGTACAAGAAACTAAATCTGTAGAGATGTAAATGCTGAATGTTTTTGCTGAAACGTGCTAAAGAATGCAAAAAGGGTCAAATCATGACATTTATTTTCGGGAGAAACATTTCGTCTTTCATCTTAAAGACTTGGTCAGCCTGCGGCCTGCCCACCCAGATCTGTCTTAAAAATAGCTCTCATTGATGTGTTTCAAACCAGCCTCCTGTTGAGTTCCCAGAAACTGACTTTACACATGCAATAAGGAACCATCCGTCCAAAACAATTGATCATCATGCATAACAATCAAATGTTTTTAAGAATGAATTGTTTGAATGGTTAAAGGTAAAGCAATCAGAACAGAAGCTAAAATCAACTAAACAGTAGCCAAAATCTACAATCAGCAAAACTGTTGCTACGTAAAGGCTAAAATTAACAGAAGTGGAGCTGTAAGACAAATTAGGGGGTGTGGTGGCGCAGAAGTTAGAGAAGGCAAACCCCACGTGATCAGAAGGTTGCTGGTTCGACCCATCTGCCAGACAACATCAAAAATGTAGGTTTGAATGGTGAAGCACCCACATCTGTCTCCACCTTCATTTGCCAATCTCTTGGCCCTTGAGCAAGGCCTTGAACCCCCACCATCCGCTCCCCCGGGTGTCCTAGATAGCAGCTCTCTGCTGCACACAGAGGGCTGTGGTAGCTCTGTGGTCTGTGGTTGTGTCAGGAAGGGCATCCAGCTTAAAAGTCTTTGTGTGAGTTAGTTCACTGGGGTGACCCCTGACGAAGGAAGCAGCCAAAAGAAAAAAAAGTAGCTATAAGACAAATGGAGCTATAAGCTGGAGCTAAAACCAAAAAAAATAGCTAAACTGTAGCTAAAAATATATAAAAAAGGTTAAAAAGCTAAAAGCCTGTCAGAAACTAAAAGGTTTTTAAAGTAGCCATGTTAAAGCTAAAAATAGCAAAACTGTAACTATGAGACAGACGGAGCTAAATTAGAGCTAAAGCTCAATTGTAGCTAATCTACTAAAATTAGAAAAACTATCTGAAAAAATCCTAAAGCTTGTAAGAAAGACACTAGTAAGTTAAATTAGCAAAGCTGTAGTTTAAAGCTCAAATGTTTGAAATGGAAGCTAAAAGCTTAAAGAAGACAAACATAAAACAGAAATGCTGTACCAGATTGTAGAGCACAAGATAAACTGAAATCATCTTCATGTCTTTCTCTGTATTTTATTTTGTAAATACAAAGTAGCTAAATGCTAACTACAGTAACGCTTTGTAAAGTACCTGAAAGCTAAAAAGCTGACTCAGCATTCACACAATTAAATCGAACCTGATGCCCTGTAAAGGTTTGTTTTCTTGTCCTTTCAGCTGCATGTCATCCATCCTGTCTTTAACCCGTACATTATTACCCGCACCACATCAAAGGGGTACATTTCTTCACGTGTCATCAGCTGCTTCAATGCTGGACTGGATCCCAGCATTGTGACTGGTTGTCAGTCTGATTTTGCTGTGCAGTGTTGACAGTTCCTGCATACAAATGCTGATGTTGAGACACACACAGACACAAATGACAGGCTTATTTATGTTTTTGATGTATTTGTGTGTCTGTGTATTCTTTGAGTGGGGATACTTGTACTGTCTGGAATACAACACAGCATTTCTTGAAGACATGCATATCTCTCCCCACCTTTCATGCAAGAGTTTTAGACTAAGATCATCCTATGTAAAGAAATGACAGAGTTACAGCTGTTTTTGGTCAAACCTTGATAGTAACTTTAAGGTCAATCTCATAGGATATTGCTAAATCTGTTATCAATGACTCTCAGCTTCTAGTATCTCAAGTTTTAGCTCAACGGGAGTAAAACTGATTGAGTTCTAGACGTTTAGTTTTGGCTTATGTTGATTTACTGTGGGGACCATCTTAAAATGAATTGGCTTCAAAGGGTTAATTAGTTGTAGATGTGCGTGCAATGATCACTTTGTGATTTTTTTTAAATTTGTCTATTTGTTTATGAGATAATTTTGCTAACAGACAAACTTGGCTGGCTTTTAACATTTAATGCTACAGTTTTAAGCTAACAATCTTGTGCAATAATTAGCATTTGGCATATGTGTTGTGCATCACTCTTCGCTACAACCCCATCAAATTTTTGCACAATATCTGGAAGAAAATACTAAATTTTAAACTTTTGTGTGCGTGTATTTTTTAAGATCAGATGCCTGTGGCGGCCATCTTGAACTGGGTTAGCTCTATATGTTAATCAGTTATACAGGCACATCTCAAACACTTAGAATGGAATATAATAGTGAAAATATTTAATATTTTTGTCACTCACTTCAGAAAGTGAAACTCATATATTACATTGATTCATTACATAGAGTAAAATATTTCATATTAGATATAATAAGTTCCATATTAGAAACTCGTGCACACTATGCACAGACGAATCATGAGCTGCAAATGTCTCGTTCCTCAAGTCAAGCCACTTCTGAGCCAGAGACATCAGAAGCATCTTACCTGGCTGTGGACTTCTGAAAACCCAGTGGACCAGAACCAGCAGACGATATGGCCTCAAACCATCACTGACTGTGGAAACTTCACTCTGGACTTCAAGCAATGTGAATTCTGGTCCTCTCTACTCTTCCTCCAGACTCTAGGACTTTGATTTATAAATGACATGCAACATTTACTTTAATCTGAAAAGAGGACATTGGACCACTGAGCAACAGTCCAGTTCTTTTTCTCCTCAGCAGGTAAGACACTTCTGACGTTGTCTCTGGTTCTGGAGTGGCTCGACTTGAGGAATGAGACATTTGTAGCTCATGTCCAGGATTCGTTTGTGCTTAGCATGAGTTTCCAATATGGAACTTTATCACAATATTCTAATTTTCTGAGACACTGAGTTTTAGTGTTTCATTATCTGTAATAATCAAAATGACAAGAAATAAAGTCTTGAAATATTTCACTCTGTGTAATGAATCCATACATGAGTTTCACTTTCTGAAACGATTGATAAAAAGTATTGGAACTTTTTTATGATCTTCTAATTTGTTGAGACGTACCTGTAGATGTACACACAGTGGCTATTTCCTGAACGCGTCAATAAAATCCAAACACACAGACAGGCAAAAACACTATCGCCTTTGGCTGAGTGCGATAAGAAGTGAAGAAAAAACTTTATGGAAACTGTTCATATGCGGTTTTTATCTGATCATTTAATCTTATAAGATTATAGGATTCGTCCTGGCTAAAGGAAACATTTGTAGGGTGATTTATTTTGACAGCAGAACTCCACAGATGTGGTGCCACG